ACCGTGCATGGCCAGTTATTTCCTGATTATATGCTAGGCAAGGGGTATGCTTCATACCCACCACCTCCAGGTTTGCTCTATTGAGCACATTGAGCCTAAGTTAAAGTTCGTTCTTTATAAGTTTGACTCCACCGCCGGGTTTTGCAATTTTATAATAAATGCCTTTTAGAGCCTCTGTCACAGTAATCCTTGCTTCTCTGGGAACTGCTGATTTTCCAGCTGTGTTTGTACCACCTGTGCCACCCCAGCCTCCATCTCCTAGAGTTGACTAGAGTGAAGTGGACACAGGATAATTGTTTACTCTGAGTTTGGGGGTTTTGAACTGATGTTCATAGAGTGGGAATAGGATTCGTTTATGTAGGTCATTGGCAACATTCTGGAGAAGGAATTTCCTTGAATTCTCAGCCTGAGATTCCTATGGCTGACTTGGCTGAAGCCCTCCTCAAAACAGAGTCATCCAAAACATCACTAGATTCCACAAAGCATGCCATGCTACATGGCTTGAATGATTGTCTCCTCCAAAACTCATGTTAAAATTTAATTGCCATTGTGATCGTATTGGGAAGTGGGATCTTTAAGAGGTGTTTAAGTCTTGAGCCTTCACCCTCATGCATGCACTAATGGTGTTATCATGGGAGTGATTCTTTATTACAGGAGTGGGATTGCTCCCTTTTGCCCTCTCTTGCCCTCTCTTTGCTCTTCCCCCATGTCATGAAGCATCAGGAAGGTCCTCACTAGATTCTAGTGCCTTGATGTTAGACTTTCTAGTCTCCACAACTGTGAGCCAATAAATTTCTGTTCTTTATAAATTACCCATTCTGTGGTATTCTGCTATAGAAGCACAAAATAGACTAAGATACTCTAGTAACCATTCAAAAAAGTTGGTATCTGTCACTTACAAGCCTGAAGTAGCTTCACAGGGTTGAAATCATGTCTTTCTGTCTCGGGCCAGGCATTGTCTCCTAAAGGCCTAAGAAGTGCTGGAAAAATATTTGTTAATTAACAGGTAAGGTCTGGGAATCCAACATAGATGTGGGGACCAGAGCTAATGATTGCTCAGACCACAAATGAAGCTTCCTCGTTAGCAGGGAGACAGGATGAGGCTCAGAGAAGAAGACCTGCCTCTGCTGCCTAGAATGGGGTAGGCAGACCACTGGAGCTCCAAGAACATGGAGCATTAAGAAAGATGCAGAGCCAGGAGGCTTAAAAAGGCAAAGAATGTTTTTGGACACAGCAGGGTCACGAGGCTCTGTGACACTTATTCAAGGCTACAGTGATTCAGGTCAATCCACCCTCATCATTTGTCTTGCATCTCAGTTGAGGAGAGTACATGCTCTCCACAATAAGCACGATATGTCAAGTCAAGCTAGGCTTTGAAAGCCCGACAAACTGTGGAATGATAGATATTGGCAAATAAGATCTTTAATAGCATGTTTCCATTTTTATTTTGAGAGAGTCTTGCTTTATCACCCAGGCTGGAGTGCAGTGGCCCAATCTCGGCTCACTGCAGCCTCAACTTTATGGGCTGAAGTGATCCTCCTGCCTCATCCCCCCAAGTAGCTGGGACTGCAGATGTGTGCCACCACGCCTGGCTAATTTTTGTATTTTTAGTAGAGATAGTGTTTTACCATGGTGCCCAGGCGTGTCTCGAACTCCTGGACTCCAGCCATCTGCCCATGTCAGCTTCCTGAAGAGTTGGGATTACAGGCATGAGCCACCATGCCTGGCGAACAGCATGTTTCTCTATGGCACTTAGGGTGCATAAACAGCCAGGGGTGTCCCAGCATCTTTTTCATCCTGAGTTAAGACTATTAAATCCAACTCCTAGAAGTCCATGCAGTGCCCATCTTCAAAAGAGGTCAGAGTTTGTCCACAAACTCTGGCCAAGTAGCCAAATTACCAGTTTATTAAACGGACAATTTGCAAGCTCAAAGATTTTCTAACACTTTGCTAACATTACCAATGTATAAGGTTTATAGCAATTTCTATTGAATGGAGGGGCTTCACAAGCTTTTAAAGATTGATGTGATACTCTCTTTTGCTCTCATTGGTTTTTATTTTGTTTTCAGAGGAGCATTTTAAGGAATTTTCTATTTATCAAAATATAAGTGGTTTATTCTGCCTTTGAATATATTTAACTTATGAGTACATTAATGAAGAATATGTTCCTGAATGTGGATTTTTCTAGAGTCTATTAATATTATGCCATTCGATTTACTTTCTTTTCACTCCCTTACTCTGCATCTCTTTTGTCTCCCCATGTCTCAGTTTCTCCCTTTGCCTCCTCCGATCTCTGCCTCTTTTTTTTTCTTAGAAACAGGGTCTTGCTCTGTTGCCCAGGCTGGAGTGCAGTGTTATGATGATAGCTCACTGCAATCTAAACTCCTGGGCTCAAGTGATCCTCCCAACTTAGCCTCCCAAAGAGTTGAAATTACCAGTATAAGCCACTATGCCCAGCTCCTCTCTACTAAGAAGTACAATCACTCCTCTTACAATCACTCCCCATCTCTGCCTTTCAGTATCCTCATCTCCTGCACATCCCTTGTCCTCTCTCTCCCATTCACTGTCCGCCACCTTTTCTCCTTAGTTCCTCCTCTTTGATGCCTGTCTCCCCACCCCATTTCCTCCTATTTTTCCCCTCTGTCACCCGAAGTCTCTTTACCTCTATTTCTCCTTTCCTGTCTCTCCCCGCAGTAGCAGCAAGCTGGAGGCAAAGACAAATTGAACATTCTTCAATGTGCTGCCATGAAAAAATCCAAAATCATGTACTGCAACTTCACAACCATTGTAGGAAAACGTGATTAGAAACCTCATCCGATATGAATTTCAGTAAACTTTGTGAATAGTTACAAAGAAGCCAATGTTTGGTAAATTGGGCAGTTGATCAATTGAAGAACTGGCTTGAAGTTAATCAGCCTTAAACCCATGAAAAGAATCCTGAAGGAGTTTCTAGGTCGTCAAGGTTCTTACTTAACGATCAAAGTCCCTATGACAGCCTTCTCTTAGGAGGCCTTATTTTAGTATTTAGGGCAGAAGGCCTGGCTTCATCTGGATTTTTTGCAAGCCATCAGCCACTGATGGGCTGGGGCTTTCTTAGTAGGCTGGGGATGACATTACTGTATTACAGTCTATTGTCTTTTATAGATTCAAAAATTAATTTCTATTGTTCAGACAGGAGTAGGAAGAGCAGATTGAGACAGTGGAAAGGAAGCACATTCCAGAATCAGACCTTTGAGCAGTTCCTCAACCTCTCTGGGCCTCAGGTTGCCTATTTGTAAAAAGGGAAATCTCCCTTATGAGATTGTTGTAAAGGTAACATTCGAAAATGGCAGCAATAACACTACATAACATTAGATAAAACACAAAGCCTGGCACATGGTATGTGCTCAGCATGTTTTAAAAATGCATAGGAGTGCCCTCTGCATAGACCTTGTTCCTTAGACTCTGAGAATTTATATTTATTGACCATTTCTTGTTCTTGTCAGACTTAAATCCAGGTCTCTTTGACCCACAGGCAGAACTCACAATCAGTTGTCTCCACTAGTTGCCTCAAATGTTCAAGATAAATAATGGACACTTAGCTACTTGTCTGTGTGGAGTGCTTTTTGTGAATGTTCTTTGGTCCTGAGGGACCCTGAGGAGTGACTCTCTCACAGGGAGATCTTCTGAACAATGGTTTCTGACCTGGAAACAGAAGAGCTGCAGCTTCTGAAACTGGGATTAAAGTCTCCTAAAGTCCCCCAGTTTTGAACAAGAAGAAGTTTTAGGGATGCAAAGCAGAGTGAGAATGAAGCTTTTTATAAAAAGTAAATCCTTTTAAAAAGACATTTATAAATGTGATCAGAAACTGAAGAGAAACCCCACATCAAACTTTGTTAACATTTGATAGTACATTTCAATACATCTTAGTCCAAGACACTCAGAAAGGCAGAAATAAATAAATCACATACAGTCTGGTTTTAAGCGTCATATTTTAGGTAGGTAAAAATATCTCATTTTAACAGATCATGCAAAGGGGAACACAAAATACAAAATACCAGCTTGTACAGGCACTCCATTTGCTATACATATTATGGTTTAGCATCAAGTTTTAAAATGTAAATCACAACCAGATTGCAACATAAACACCAAGTAAAACTATATGTTCCTATGTCTTTGCTAGTTTTTGTTTAACAGGTATGGCTATAAAAAATTACAATGACTTTTTGACAACAGAACTCACAGATAAAAATGTACCTGGTTCCTTCAAAGCCTCACCTTCTGTAGGTGCACAGGAACTCCATGTTGGCTGTTCTTCTATTCAACATATTGTTTTGAGCTGCCTCCACTCTTGGGAATAGTGTGTGTGTGTGTGTGTGTGTGTGTGTGTGTGTGTGTGTGTATGTATGTATGCACACTTAAGAGGGCACATTGTTAAAATATTTTGTTTTATTGAGACAGAGTCTCACTCCGGTGCCCAGTCTGGAGTACAGTGACGTGATCTCCGCTCACTGCAACCTCCACCTCCCGAGTTCAAGCTATTCTCGTGCCTAAGATTCCCAATGGGACATGATGGGCATGCCCCATCATGCCCAGCTAATTTTTGTATTTTTAGTAGAGACACGGTTTTGCCTTGTCTGTTGGTCAGACTGGTCTTGAACTCCTAGTGTCAAATGATCTACCCACCTCGGCCTCCCAAAGTGCTGGGATTACAGGCTTGAGCCACCATGACCAGACATTTTGGAGAAAATACGCTACAATAAGCTGGAACCCCAGAGGATTTTTATGCTAACTTTCTCACATAACTAGCTATGTGACCTTGCGTACCTCTCTCACCTTGCTGCACCTCAATTTGCTCCTCTGCAAATTAGAGTTAGAAAACTGCCCCCTGTAGGGTGTTGTAGGGCTTAAATAAGATAAAACTAGTACAGCCCTCAAAAAATATGGCATTCTCCCCCCATTCCTTCTTTTAATTTTTAACGTGCAACCATTCACAAATATTTCATTTCTCTTTCTTTTGAGGATGGCTTTTGCCACCACTTTTTTAATAGCCAAAGGAAATCTGGAGTTAAAAACGATGGGTGTGCAAGCTGTATAATTTTCTATCCACTCTAAACATGTCTGATTAAGAAATAATAAGGCAGAATATCCCGGTGGTTCAGACACTGGTTCTGGAGAAAGCTGTAAAAGAGGCTCAGAATAGAAGTTTTCTGAGAAGGGGCAGCCCCTGTGGAACAGCTGTCATGCCTCTCAAAGTGACCCCTGGAAGGGGACAGCAACTATTCACATGGATAATGTCTCTACACAGTCATACAGCTCCATTCTAGGAAGGCTCGAGAGATCTTTTCAATTCTCTGATGGAACGCTAGCCATGTGTTCCTTCAGTTTTCAATCATTTGACTCCGAAAGCTTGAATTTCAATGGGAGTCTGAAGCTCCCACAGTTCCTGAGAAGCAGGAGAGCTCCATCCAGGTCTAATTCTCTCTTTCTCTTTTATTTTTATGGTTTTTTTTTTTTCTTTTCGAATCCAGTTATAAGAAACAGGTCTAATTCTCTTGCAAAGATTCCGCTTCCTCCTTAAAGTTCAAGCTCTCTGCTGATCACAGCCATCTGCTGTTCTTCCATGGTGCCTAAGATCTTTCCAAACTATCCAGCCCCAAAGACTGTGGTTTGGATTCCAGGAAGCCCAAGTGCCTGCCTGGCAACACACAGGCCTTTGTCCTTATTTCCTTGTTGGACATCATAAGGATCACTTTGTTGCATCCCCTTGGAGACTCCCTTAGGAGCGAATGTGCAGAATTCTCTTGAAAGTCTTCTTGAAGTTCTCATTGCACAAGGGGTAGATGAGGGGGTTCAGTGTGGAGTTGATATAGCCCAGCCAGATGGTGAACATGTGCAAATGTTCATTGCAACAGTTCTTGCAGAAGGCAATGACCATGAAGAAGATGAAGTAAGGGATCCAGCAGAGGATGAAGGCTGCCATGATAAAACCCAACTGTTTGGCGGCCTTCCTTTCGCGGTTCATGTGCAACCCAGATACATACTGTCTCGAATGTGAGCGGAGCCTCTTCCAAGTAAACTTGATGTAATCTAGGCCTGTGTTAGACCCACTCCTCAATTTGCCTTTGCCTGGTGCTGTCTCTGTGGTGGTGTCTGAGTCTGTTCGAGAGAAGGATTGGCTATCACCTAACATCTGATCCTCTGACGTCTCACTGGCCCCATGCGTGTTCAGGCCCTGCTCTTCCATCTTGAGCTGGCCATGGCTCTGGTTGCTGGCTGCATAGTCCCTGCTACTCCCCTCTGCCTCGGTCTGCATCTGTACAATATCAAGTGGGAGGCAGTGGAGTTTGTCCACTTCTCCATCATCCTCTTGGCTGAAGACAACTGGGGATTTCATCTCCTCAGGGGTTTGGGATGGTGACTTCAAGATACATCCACCACCAGCATCTTTTGGCTTCCTTTTCAGAACTTCCCAGGGAGACTCCTTCCCTGGTTTCTTGACACCGCCCTTGGGGTTCTCTGGCCTCAGCTTAATTTCTGAGAAGGAAGGGAGGGATCCATTGATGAGCTCCCGGTGCTGGCAGTGTTGCCGGACAGCCTTGTAGATCTTGGCATAGAACCAGAGCATGAGCAAGGTGGGCAGGTAGAAGTTGATGATGGCAGTCATGACCTTGAACCAGGTGACATCATAGAAGTCTGTCTCACACTTGTCCTCTCGGCGCACCGAGGTCTGCCGCATGAAGTGATTCCAGCCTAGAATGGGAATAACCCACAGAAAGGAGAGAAACCAGGCCCCCAGAATGGTGGCTGAGGCTCGGGTCTTGGTGCGATACTTCAGGTACCTGAGGGGCTGCTGGACAGAGCGGTAGCGATCAATGCACAGGATGAAGACACTGAAAATGGACGCTGTGCTGGCCACGTAGTCCATGGAAAGCCAAAAGAGGCAGAGAGGACGGCCCAGCGACCACCTGGACATGAGCAAGTAGAGGATGTTCATAGGCATGACGACAGCACCCACGATGAGGTCTGCCACCGAGAGGCTGACGATGTACAGGTTCCCCACGGTGTGTAGCTTCCGCTCACTCCGTACGGCGTACAGCACCAGCAGGTTGAGCCCCACTGTGACCAAGGAGATGGTGCTCAGGACCACCACCAGGGGCATCAGCTGGGGGCTGGCCATGGTAGTCTTGTTCCCCTCACACATCTTGTCTTCTAAGAGGCAGGAGGAATTGGGGAAGGTCATTGGTGCCAGAGCAACCACCAGTTATGGCTCACTCCCTGGGAGAAAAGATAGAAAAAGTAAGGTCAGAGACTTGGTGATCAGTGGTCACTTAGTAGCATGACGTTCATCCGACTGGAGTAGTATACTTTTGGGAGTGATAGACACTGCTGGTTACCTACTCAACAGCCATGTCCCCTTTTTCCTTATTCATGCATTCATTTGCTCATTCAACAACTATTTATTGAATTCCTGGTACTCTTCTAGATGTTGGGGATATAGCTGTGAACAAAACCAACAAAAATGTTTGCCCTTACGGAACATGCATTCTACTGAAAGAGTTGGGCAGAGGCAAGGTAAATAAAGAGTTTGTAGAAATCTAATTCTGCACATGTTATGGGAAGGCGGGCTGCATCCTCACATGTCTAAGCAGAATATGACAATCTAGTTCCTCTTTACAGTGGTGGATAGAGGAGTGACCACGAGATACCGTCACGTCCAAGGAATCAGACGAGGATGTCAAACGGCAGAGGTGGAGTTTTTAGAAAAGTTCTTCCTCTCTGACAAATGAGCAAAACCAGAAAAATTGTTGTTGCTCACTTGCCTTCTTCTTCCTGATAAGATGTGAGGAAGTGATGTTTGAGGCCATGGCAGTCATCTTGGGACCATCCAGGAATGCCAAGAAAATGCCAACCTAGGGCCCTGCTATCACTAAGGTGCTGAGCCAACTCTGGAATCTTCTTCTCCCAGACTTGTTATTATAGGAAATAACTGGATTTTGTTTTGCTTTGCTTTTTTTTTTCTTACATCACTGTTGTGGGAGTTCTTACTTTCAGCTAAAAGCATCTCTAATTGATATGGAGGAGGTTATAAGGGGACATAGCAGAGGCATGTAAAACATGAAATAAATCTAGCATATCTTCTTAGAGGAAAATTCCCAAGTGGGAAGGGGATTATGTTATTTGGAAAAGCATATTTGTTGTTTTACTTTTCTATTTGAAAAACAAACAGTTGTTTAAATTCTATATATCATACCAAGTAATAGGTAACAAACTGGTAGGCTGGAAATGGGATTACAGCTCACACCTGTAATCCCAGCATTTTGGGAGTCTGAGGTGGGAGGATTGATTGAGGCCAGATTTAAAGGTGGAATGATCACTTGAGGCCAGGAGTTTCAGTCTGGGTAACATAGTGGAACCCTGTCTCTTAATTAAAAAAAAAAAAAGAAATTAAAAAAAAAGGTAGCCCAGCGTGATAGTGCACACCTATAATCCTAGCTGCTTGGGAGGCTGCAGTGAACTCTGATCACATCACTGTAGTCCAGCTTAGGGGACAGAACGAGATCTTGTATCTGAAAAATAAAAACAAAAACCCTTTGCTAGTAAGGCTCTACTGAAAACAGACTATATCCTCTGTTATCGGTGATCTTCAAGTGGTATGGTTGGGTGAAAGTAAGTATTAAATCTTCTGGAAGGAGTTTTTAGTTTTTTTTTTTTTTTTTTTTTTTTTTTTTTTTGAGATGGAATCTCACTCTGTCACCCAGGCTGGATTGCAGTGGCACCATCTCAGCTCATTGCAACCTCCAGCTCCAGGTTCAAGTGATTCTACTGCCTCAGCCTCCCAAGTAGCTGGGATTAGAGGAATGTGTCACCACATCCAGCTATTTTTTTTCTTTTTCGAGATGGAGTCTTGCACTGTTGCCCAGGCTGCAGTGCAGTGGTGCAATCTCAGCTCACTGCAACCTGTGCCTCCCAGGTTTAAGCAATTCTCTTGCCTCAGCCTCCCAAGTCACTGGGATTATAGGCGCCTACCAACACGCCCCGTTACTTTTTTGTATTTTTAGTAGAGATGGGGTTTCACTATGTTGGCCAGGCTGGTCTTGAATGCCTGACCTCATGATCCATCTGCTTCAGCCTCCCAAAGTACTGGGATTACCGGGGGAACCACCCCACCAATCTTCTTTTTTTTTTTTTTTGTATTTCTTAAAATAGAGATGGATTTTCACCATGTTGGCCAGGGTGGTCTAGAACTCCTGACCTCAGGTGATCTACCCACCTCAGACTCCCAAAGTTCCGGGATTACAGGTGTGAGCCACCATGTCCAGCTGTTTTTTTTTTGTTTTGTTTTTTGTTTTTTGTTTTTTGGTTGTTGTTGTTGTTTTTGACAGAGTCTTACTCTGTCACCCTGGCTGGAGTGCAGTGGTACCATCTCAGCTCACTGCAACCTCTGCCTTCCAGGTTCAAGCAATTCTTATGCCACAGCCTCCCGAGTAGCTGGGACTACAGAACTGTACCACCACGCCTGGCTAGTTTTTGTATTTTCAGTAGAGAAGGGGTTTCATCATGTTGGTCAGGCTGGCCTTCTAGTGTAACTTGTTCACAAGAATAACTTTTTATCTTAGGGGTAAAAGGAGAAGAATTTAAAGCAAAAATCTTAGAGTAGACAGAAGTGAAATATAAAAACCAATCAGCTAGTATCAAATTTGTTAATTCCAGAAACAGGGACAAATCTATTAGGAAGAGATTTAATGCTAAAATTAGGCGTAGGTCTCCAAATCAACCATGGAAAATTCCTCCCCTCCCTAAACTTGCTCACCACTGTAGACAAAGAACACATTCATCCCAAGGTATGGTCAAAAGACGTGAATTGAGGAAAGTTACAGATTCTGTCATTCATGTTAAATTAAAAACCCCTGGGGAAGTAGTAAAGCGAAAGCAATATCCTCTTCCTTTAGAAGCCAGGGTAAATTTAAGACCACCTATAATTGAAAGTCTTCTTTGTGATGGCCTTCTTGAACCCTGTGTGTCACTCTATAACACTCCAATATTGTTTGTAAAGAAGCCAGATGAGCCATACCGGTTAGTGCAAGACCTTAGAGCTATTAAACAGATACTCCAAACTACACACCCTGTTGTTCCCAATCCTTATACTATTATCAGTAGGATCCCATACAGCCACCAGTGGTTTACAATACTAGATTTAAACAATGCTTTCTGGGCTTGTCTGTTAGCAGAGGACAACTGGGACCTATTTGCCTTTGAGTGGGAAGACCCTTACTGTGGTTGAACAGTCTTATCCCAAGGATTTATGGAAACTCCAAATGTATTTGGTCAAATGTTAGAACAAGTCCTAGAGAAATTTTCCCTGCCCTCATGCATATGCCTCCTCCAGTACATGGATGATCTAATTTCAGGAGACGATAGAGAAGGAGTAGCAGTCTTCTCACCCCATGTCTTAAATTTTCTATGGGATGAAGGGTTAAGAGGCTTGAAAAACAAACTCCAATTTGTAGAACCCGAAGTAAACATACTTAGGGCATTTAATTAGCAAAGGTAAACAGAAAATTGGGCTTGAATGGATTGAAGGAGGATTAGTTGGATACTGTCTTCTATTGATAGACTCTTATTCCCTAGAAACAAAACCCTGATACAAAAAGCTCACGCAAGACAAGCCCAAACCCCTCGTTTGGCAATTACCAGAAATCCGACAGATGGAAAGGTTAAAACATCTATTAGTAACTGCTCCTGTCCTAGCTTTACCCTCCTTAAGCATCCATTTCATCTTTTTGTCGATGTAAACAAGGGCATAGCCTTAGGAATACTTACCCAAAAGCATGAAGGCCACCGGCAACCCATAGCTTTCCTATAAAAATTCTTGACCCAGTAACCCGCGGATGGCCCGAATGCATTAAATCTGTAGTGGCAACTGCCTTGCTAACAGAAGAAAGCAGAAAAATAACTTTTGGAGGAAACCTCATTGTGAGCACACCTCACCAGGTCAGGTCTGAACTATCCTAAGTCAGAAGGTAGAAACGTGGCTTACTGACTCAAGAATTAAAAAAAAAAAATTTAAATATCTTGTTATATCTAAAAGATAGCCTCGTATTTTCTATTTTCTTGATTCTCTAACAAGAAAAAGATGATTTAACCCTAACCACTGATGATTCACTTAACCCTGCTGCCTTCTTAACAGGAAATCCCCAGAAGAACTTGGGCATAGACGTTTAGATAAACTTCCTCTCAAACCGGAAGATACCTTTTTGTAGATGGTTCTTCTCAAGTAATAAAAGGGAAAATGCATAATGGGTACTCAGTAGTAGACGGAGACACCCTCCCTAATGACTGGTCTGTGCAAGCACGTGAGTCGTTTGCACTAAATCAAGCCTTAAAATTTCTGCACAACCAGGAGGGAAATATTTATACTCACTTCAAGTATACCTTTGGAGTAGTCCACACCTTTGGGAAAATTTGGGCAGAGCAAGGCCTCACTAAGAGTAAAGGCCAAAACTTAGTCATAGAGACTTGATAATCCAGGTACTAGAGAACTTACAGCTGCCAGAAGAGACAGCAGTTGTTCATGTTTCAGGTCACTAGAAGAATCTCTCCTTCGAGAGCCAAGGGAATAATCTAGCTGCCCAAGTAGCCAAAAAAGCTGCCTCTTCTCAAGTAGCACCCATTTTCCACCTAACTCCTTATCTTCCCCCTCCAGCTGCAGTCTCTACTTCTCCCCTATAGAGCAAGAAAAGTTTAAAGAAATAGGAGCCAAAGAAAGCCACCAGGGAAAATAGGTTCTGCCAGACAAGAGAGAAATGCTGTCTAAGCCCCTCATACCAGACATATTGTCACAGCTACATTAAGGAACTCACTGGGGCCCCCCATGCTAGGTGTTGATGCAGTACTTAGAGTTTATGGAGGCAGAGGAATTTATACCCTTGCTGGACAAGTTGCAGATAGTTGCATAGTGTGCGGAAAAACCAACAAACAAACCCTAAAGAAAATGGGAATACCACAATGTAGCATATTGCCCTCCTTAGGGAAAGTAGAAAGGCCCATGGCTCTGTTGAGAGTGTGAACTGCTCCCTCAAAATACATAGGCCTATCTTCTTATGAGATGCTTTACGGATCGTCTTATCTACATTCTGCTTCTGATCTTCCTACATTTGAAATGAAAGATCAGTTTCTTAAAAACTATGTATTAGGTCTATCTTCTACCCTTTCCTCCCGCAGGACTCCAGGCCTCCTCGCACAAACTTCACCCCTTGAATTCCCAGTTCATCAAC